GGGGTCAATTCTCAGCTCCCACATGGTGTGTCACAACTGTCTATACTTCAGTTCCAGGGGGTTCAATGTCACCTTCTGAGCTCCACCGACATGCATGTGGTACACAGATATGTATGTGAGACAAAATGCTTACATATAAAATTTTAAAAAAAGATATCTGGAAAGTGTTCAAGAAAAGGAAAAGCCAAAATCCAAACCTGAAGTTCAAGATCTTTCTTCCCTTTTATAACCAGAATTGAGGAACTTATTACAGGGACACTTGCTTTTCTTCTCACTATTGGGACCTCTTCTAATGGCAGAGGAATGGGGGCGGGGAGATGTCTTATTGATTGCCAACACTTCTTTTAAAGGACTGAGGAATGAATAAGGTTGGAAGCTCTCAGGTCAACTACACCACTTGTTACCACTGCACAAAGGTTTGACGAGGAAGAAGTCTTCAGTCAAAATAAGGTACAAGAGTTTGTCAGTTGAATTATGCATTCTTTCCCCACCCATGACCAGTCTTGAATAACCAAATATGAGTGATCAGACAGAATGAGTTTTGGGATTTAATCCTGCTGCTAACATAGAACAATCTTTGTCGTGAAAAGAACTGGAAACAAAAATAATTAGCATCCATGAATAAACCTTTAAAGTTTATGTTCATATCAGATAAAATTTATAATAAAAAATGGGTTTCATGCTTCCTACAGTATAAGAATATGCATAGATGGTACTTAAACTGCCAGTGGTTCCAGAGCCAATTATTCTTAGATTCTTGAAGAAAAAAATTCTTGTTTTAATTTGTTGAAAAACACAGTTAAGAGTCTACTGTTTTGGCCTAAAACTCATATTAGCTTACAACTGGGAAAGTCTCAGTTTTTCTACCCAAATACTTCTCTAGATTGGAATGGAATTTTGAGGACAACAATCTTTTGATGAATCCTCAGGGTGTTTAGGCAAAGGTTTCTGTCAGTGTGCTTTTATGTATTTTATGAACTATTTGAACTTGTGTGGGTTCTTTAGGGAATTCCTTTTTTTTTTTTTAATTATTTTCTTAAGCACTAAAATCTTTAAAACAATTTTTATTACATTGACTTATTCATGTGTGTGTTTCTGGGTGAGCTCTCACACTCACGTACACATGTGTGGAGGTCACAGGACAGTTCGAAGGGGTCATTTCTCACCCTTCCACCATGTGAGTCCTGGCAATCAAACTCAGGTCAACAGTCTTGGCAACAGGAATCTTTACCTTCAGAGCCAACTCACCAGCTCTAAAATATATTTTAAAATCATGTCAACATAGTTACTTCCCATTAAGTGGCCCTGCAGGAGAGAAGTCTGGTGAGTTCTGGGAGGATGGAATAGCATATGAAGAGGAGATGGGCAAAGAAAGGACATGTGCTTTTGTTTCAGACTCCGACCTTCTAATTGGTCTTGGACCTGTAAATTTTAATTCCTCTACCTCCACCCAGTAGCCAAACTGATCTCTCTAAAATAAAAAGGGCTGGGGTGGGGGATCTGGAGCAATAGCTCAGTAGTTAAGAGCTTTTGTACTTGCAGAAGGCCCAGGTTTGATTCCCAGCACCCACATGGTGGCTTACAACTGTCCATAATTCCAGTTCTAGGGAATCCAACTACCTCTTCTGACCTCTGAGGATACAACCGAAACACTCATGCTCATATAATAACTTAAAAAAAAAATGACTGCAGTATTCAACTTAAACTCCTTCAGTGATGTTGTATAGCTTTCAGAAATGTCAAAACACGTGGATCTTGCCTGACTTTCTAGCTTCATCTTCAAAACTCCAGACACTCTTTATTTCAAGCTGAACACAACATACCACACTCTGGGCCGTGTTCCCTCTGGTCTCCATCTGCCTATTTAACTTTTACTTAAATATTAAGCTTTGGATTCCATGTATGTCATCATGTCCCATAGAACATTTATTTTCAATTTTTTATGTGTGTTTTTCCTGTATGTATGTCTGTGCACCATGCACATGCCTGGTGCCTGCATTAGCCAGGAAAAAAAAAAAAAAAAAAAAAAAAGACTGTATCCCCTTCAACTCAAGGTACAGGTGTTTGAGAGCTGCCGTTTGGGTGCTTGCAATCAAACCCAGGTCCTTCAGAAGAGCAGTCCATGCACTTGACAGTCAAACCATCTCTCCAACCTCCAGACTCACAAATTAAAGACAGCTAACAAGCAAAAGCAACCTTTTACAGGAAGCAACCATTTTTACTTTTATCAAAATATTGCTTGATGTCTTCTCTTTGATGGTTCTCTTTTCTGTTATATTTGCTACTTTTCTGTTTTGCTTTCTTTAAGTGAGTTTGTTTTTTAAAGAATCTGTTTCAAAGTAAAAATATCAAAGCGAGTAAAGCTAATGATTTTAATGGTTAGAGTGCATATGGGCCCCCCAAAATGATTATTTCATATGTAGATTTTATTCATGCTACTGGATGGAAACAAAACAGTATTATATTTCATGGTTTTGATGTCAACATAAAAAGCTAATTTTGTTATGGTGACATCAAGCAGTCTGAATTCTAAAATAAGGGTGTCAATGGATTTAGGACAACACTACAATATCCATGATTTGTCAGTGAGTAGCTTTTAACTCTAAAATATCACACAACACTGCTTTAACTTTAATTTAATTGTTTCTAAAATGTACAATTAAAAATCTTACTTGTAGCCTGGCAGTGGTAGCACATACCTTTAATCCCAGTACTTGGAAGGCAAGTGAATCTCTGAGTTCAAGGCCAGACTGGTCTACAGAGTGAGTTCCGGGACAGCCAGGGATACACAGAGAAACCTTGTCTCAAAAAACAAACAAACAAAAAATCTTATTTGCTTCTCAAAGTCTTATAAATTCACTGTAGCCACAATATTGTAAAAATAATTTCATATACTTATTATAATGTCAAGATATAATACATTATTAGAACTTTACAAAATGATGTATTCATTGAATACAATAGAGAAAATTAGTAAAATGCTCACAAATTGGTAAGAATGTTGTGATATTTACATAATAAATACATTATTTCATTCTAAGAAAAGTCAATGAGCCATGGCTTAATTCATCTGGTTGTGATAATTTTTAAGTGTCCAAGCAAAATAAATAGATGATGCATTATGATTTCATTTACATAAAAGTTTAAGAAGTTCAAAACTAAACAAAGCAAAACTACATATGAAAAAAAAGATGAACTGACTTCAAACATGAAATTTGGAATAGTTACTTCTTGGAAGAGAAATAAATGCTAAGAGGTGGCACAGGAGGAAATGTTTGTGTGGTGCTCTGCTCTTCACTACAGAGACCCAAGTACCTCAGTATTCACTACCCACCCCACCCCACCCCACACTGCACAGTGGAGATGAGAAAGTGGGATCATATAACCTCTGGCAGCACTACATCTTGGTTATTACACAGAGAAAGGTAGATGGGGAGAAGTGTGGGTACTTAAAGAGGTTTTGCTAGAAATACTAAACTATGAAAAGAGCATCTACATGCCACAGGAAGTCAGGCTCCCTTGGAGAAGCTGAAGCCACAGGAGAGGAATGAAGCACACTGTCAGAGTTGCAGGAAAATGACAGGCTCTTCTGGACACTAGCCCTTGAAAGGAGGATTGTCACCTAAAACACATGGGAGGAGACTGCTCTCATCTGCCCTTTACAACAGCGAAATGAAGCCTGGCAGAGTGACACATACCTTTAATCCCAGCACTTGGGAAGCAGAGGCAGATGGATCTCTGTGAGTTTGTGCCCAGCCTGGTCTACATAGGGCATTCCAGGCCAGCCAGGACTACATAGTGAGACCCTGACTCAAACACGAAAGGAGAGCTGAGGAATGATGGGGAACCAGATAACCATTTAGATACCAAGAGGACAGCCAAGTGCAAAGCAGGCCGATGCAGCATTTTCACTGCTGCCCCACTTCTGAAAACTGTCCCTCAAGACTCCATCTGCTATGGAGCCCAGTTCCCTTATAGCATTACTTTCCTTGTTAGCTCATTTATTTGTTTAAAGACAGAGTCTCACTGTGTAGCACAGGCTGATGTCAAGCTCACAATCCTGCCTTGGCTTCCCAGGTACTAGGACCACAGGTATGTGCTACCACACTTTATTCCTTTTCCTGTTCAATTCTACCACATCCGGCTGTATCATTTGCTTTCCACTTACTCACACACTATTTTGCAGTAGTTATTTTGTGTTGTATGTTATATTTCACATGTTCTTCCATTAGATGTTGTATCTAAAACTCAACTATTTTAATATTATTCCGTTATTTTTGAAAGTGCATTATCATGCACACAGTAGCATTAGGATAATTTTCTAAGTATATCCACTAAAGCAAATATTCTGAAATGATAGACTATACACAAATGCCCACAGAACTTTGAGTCTCCATCATTATAAACTGCTTCAAGATTATCATTTCTGGTTGCCCCCCCCACCCGCCCATCCAGACAGGATCTCATGTATCCCAGGCTGGCCTCAATCTGTGTAGCTAAACATGACTTCTAAGAACAACTTCCACCTTCCTATGTGCTAAGGATGGAACCCAGGGTTTTGTGCATGTTATGCAAGCAGTGTACCAGGTGCATTCTCAACCTCCATTATAGGCTTTAGAACTATATTTTAGAAGCCAAGCCACAGATCTGATGTTAACATGTGATTGGTTTAATTTCAAAGTTGTAAAAACAAATTGTTCCTTGCCCATTAAAACTATTAATCTTTTTCATCATTTTAATTTTTAATGTTATGTCTCTGTAAGGTAACTAGAAGCAGAATGTCTTCAGCAATGACACACATTCTGCAAGGAATGCCATCTTGTGGTGGACAGCCCACTGCACTCCAGGCCGGTGACAACCTTGAGTCCAGAAAGTAAATATTCAGGAAATAAACACATAGTTAAAATCACTGTCACGACACAGTAATGGACATTAAACATTTGCTTCAAATATGTTTATTACAAGTGAGACAAATAGGAACAGACTCAATACAGAAAAGCTGTTGTCTACAATTGTACTTTCATTAAAACTTTTTGAATATTACTGACTTTGAAACACCTTCCTCTTGAAGTAGGTGGCTTTATTTTTATGTCCACTACTCCCCGGTTCTGTTAAATGTTAGCATGATTTTCAAACTTCATCGACTCAACTACAAACATTCTAAGAGCAGTTAATGATCTGCCAACTCTCTAACTGGATAGTGTGGGAAATATACAAGCAACTATTGTCCAAAATGGAATCTGAAAGGGTTAAAAAAAAAAAAAGATGACTCTAATCTTAGTGACCTTACCTTCTTCTATGTGAGTTAACTGTCTCAAGCAGCAAACTGAACAATAAACAATAAATGGCTATAGACACAGAACTTAACTTAAAATATTCTTAAATGTCAAGCTAAATGCCAGATCAGATACTTTGTTCCCCTCAGAAGTTGGGGGGGGGGTGTTAAGGAGATCTGCCACACCCATCATGAGCAGAGAATAAAGCTTGATAACATAAGGTTCCAGGGACTATGCTGCCATCTGTCTCTTCTGGAAGACCTGAGGACCCAAGGAGGTACACTGCAGGTGTAAAGGTCAGTCCCAGGGATCAAGACACTGAATTTCCAACAGATGCACACATAAACATTTACACAAAACAAAGTGCTATTGCAGTCCAAATTGATTCTTGAGATTTATTTCTGCTTCTTACCAAGAAAAATACTCTACTCAGACTTCTTTATGAACTGATTTTGGATCAGTTTTTCCACATGACTCTTCAGGACGCTGATATCAGCAGCACAAACCTGGTAATCCATCTTCCCTTGCTGCTTCATTCTCTCTAATAAAGCCTCATGTGGAGGAGGTAGTGCGTTGTATGAGCCCAGTAAGTAAAGCTGGCTTGATGATGTCTGGTTGAGTTCTTTAATCTTCAGTGCCTGCATAATAGCAGGTGCAAACTTGGAATAGTGAGCGGTCGATGAGATGATCACTGGGCAGGTTTTGTCTTGCATCCTGTCTGCAACCACCTTTGCAACAGCGGTATGTGGATCCAAAATATACCCTGATGTGTTGTAGGTAGTGCTGATGGCTTCGAGGCACTCTCCCTCAGAACACCAGTCAGCCACAAAATCCTGCTGCAGCTTCTCCACGAGCATCTTCTCTATTTGGAAGTGAAGCTGACTCTCCAACTGATTAAATAAATTCACCATTAACTGTCCATCTTTGTTAGCCATCAAGTATAAATGTCGCTCCAGGTTTGAAGATTTGAGAATATCTATTGATGGTGAAAAGGTTTGTGCTAATTTCCTGTCCCTCAGATCATAATGTCCAGTTTTTATGAAATCAGTCAAAACATGGTTCTGATTAGAGGCACAGATGAATTTCCGAATAGGGATTCCCATCATCTTAGCATACACTGCTGCTAATATGTTCCCAAAGTTTCCTGTAGGAACACAGACATCCACTGGGCTTCCAAAAGAAATAAACCCTTGGCCAACAAGATCAAGATAGGCAGATGCATGATAAACTACCTGGGGAAGAAGTCGAGCCCAATTTATAGAATTAGCTGAACTTAAGATTGTCCCATATTCCATGGTCAGAAAGCCAGTAAAATCAGAATCATTAAATATTTTTTTTATAGCTGTCTGGCAAAAATCGAAATCTGACCTGACACCTATTGCCCATCCATTTTCTCTCTGACTGTTAACTATCTGTGCTTTTTGAAAATCACTAACTCCATTCTCTGGGAAAAATGTGACCACCGCTATCCTTTGCTTGTCATTTTTATTAAGGTGGCTAAATCCATTTAAGACTGCGCTCCCCGTATCTCCTGAAGTAGCTACAAGTATCACATAATTGCAACTTGGTGGGATACAGTAGGCAAAAATATGAGGCATGAGCTGTAAAGACAAGTCTTTAAAAGACCCTGTTGGCCCATAGAACAACTCCAGGATGAACTGATTGCCTGAAAGGTGCCTGACGGGAGCAATTTTGGAGCAGGCAAAGTTGTCCCCATAAGCAGTTTCAATCATTTCTCCCAATTTGGTGGCAGGTATGTCCGCGGGGTGAATACACCTTTCCAAAAGTATCTGTGCTCTTTCTACGTAGGTTGCTCCTATTAGGCTTTTCCACTCCCCACAGCTTAATTTTGGAAACTCCTTCTCAGGAACAAAGAGTCCACCATCAGAAGCCAATCCTTCTATCACAGCTTCACTGAAGTATTTTGGTGGAAACCTGTCATGGTCTTTGAGACAAACATACCTTGTTGAAATGAATGTCTCTGAATCCACATCTTGGTATCTTTTCACTGCATCCAACACTTTGTCGGCAACCTTCTCAGGGGAAGCTCCGCTCTCACAAAAGACTCGAGCATCATACCACCTCTTATAGTACAGTCTTCTGTGTTTCAGCAAGTCTCTCATGGGTGTTCCAGAGTTCTGACCAACAATCCTATCAATTTTCATTGATTTCAGGCGACTGATTATATCTACTAGAGGCACATCCAGGTATACAACAATTCCGTTTCTCTTCAGATGCCACATGCTAGCATCATGCATGGGATTGGACCCACTGAGTGAAATCACACTTCCAGATGCAGACAAGTTTAACATGGCTTTTCCTTCCTCTTCTAAAAATTGCTCACTGCCTATATCCTGCAATTTTTCAGAAGCACTCATATTCCAGGTTTTCTCGAGGATATCATCATCCACATCGATAACACAACAACCTAGTTTATGGCCTATTATCCTGCCTACTGTCGTTTTCCCTGCACCAGGAGGCCCCATCAGGATAATATTTTTGTCTCCAACAAGAGAGTGGGTTGAGTGCCATACCTTCCCTGTTTCTGCACATGCAAAGGTTCGTGAAAGCAAGAGTTGTGTGTGAGTCCACGCTTTAACCAGTGCACTAGAAAAACACTTCTGTGTTATCTGTTTCAGATGTTGACATCTGGTAAAGTTCAGCATTTCTTTTCTGTTTTCTGCCTAAGCCAACCTAGGGTTGGCTTTAGCCCTTTTCAAGCTAAAAAAAAAAAAAAAAAAAAAAAAAAAAGACATTTGGTTACTTATTTCAAGAAATGATTAAAATTCTGATAGGATTGAATATATCCATGCCCTTAACACATAAGATGTTCAAAATATTTCAAAGTAATGGGACACTTAAGAAGTATTATAACAGACACACTGTATACTATCCTTCTTAATAAACAGATATAATTATCACATATTAATTACATAAAGTAATGAGCTTCACTGTGCTACTTCTAGCATGCTTTTATTAAGCTCTGACCACCCTTTCTCCACCCCTTCCCAGCTCCTTACACCCCCTCCTCTCCCATTCCCTCCCTCCAATTCCCTCTTCTACTATTATGTCTATTTGGTTATCTGAGAAAAAAAAACATGCAATATTTATTAGTATATTTTCAAATTTCAAGACACTAATAAAATAAAACTTTAAAAAATATGTATGACTCTCAGTATGATATAAAATCAAATATTAACAACAGAAATCTTATTCAGAAAGTATCGTATCACTGAGTCTTTATAAAAAACACATTATTGAGCAGGGCAGTGGTGGTACACGCCTTTAGTCCCAGCACTCAGGAGGCAGAGACAGAGGCAAAGGGATCTCTGTGAGTTCAAGACCAGCCTGGTCTACAAGAGCTAGTTCCAGGACAAAGCTACGAGAAACCTTGTCTGGAAAAAACAAAAACAATAAAACAAAACAAAACAAAACCATACACTATTGTATCTCTCTTCCTTGTAGGAACACTGTAACAAATACTAGGTCATGATTTGTTGACTTATAACACATACAAAGAATATGGAGTTGTAGTAATAATTACTCACAATTCATAAAAGCTGAGCCACACTCTTAATAATCAACTTATCTTTATGATCATCTTGGTAGACTATCATTATTTATTAATTTCTCATAAAATCCACAACAGGAAACTAGAATAAACAAGCACACTTGTTTATAAGATACATAAACAATTTTCTAAACTGCAAGTCTAAGTGTGCCCTTTTCTTCCCTACATGTCTTTAACCTGCAAACTGTTGAGGGTAATGTTGACATATTTTCATATATGAGACCTTTAGAAAGTCTAGTGAAGTGGATAATGTACCAAAATTAATAAAGATTAATTAATGAGGTCTTCACTTTTGTGTTCCTGTAAGCATCATTAATAGTGGGATTTAATTCTAAACTTCAGAGAAGTAAAGAAATTCATGAAGGTACTTAATAATGAAAATAAAACTGTTTTTGGCATATGGTGATGATCTACAATTGTCCATATGGACCCAGCCCTGTCTTTGGAAATGTACTCATCCTTAAAACGTGCCAGATATCAAATATTTTGTTATAATAAAATTCACTTTAATAACTAGCAATATTTCTTAAATTGACTAAGGTAACTTCACAGGCACGAAGTTGGGGCTTTTACATACTCTCTGATAGAACTAATATGCAGCTAAACTATATCAAGTATTAAGTGGCATATTTAATTATAAAAATTTCCAACAGTATACTGCTATTGATACTACCTAAACTTCGTTTTGCAATAAAATATTTAGACCATTTTTAAAAAGCTAACTCTGAATTTTACTTACAAGCACTTTGACCTATCAAGAGAAAGAATTCATTTCCTTATTTGACTTCCTATGGTGCTGTGCTTAACTCCACTAAAGTATATACACAAAGTAACAGGAACCATAGAGGAAGAGTCTATTAAGTCTGAGGCAAAGCCGATCTTTGCAAAACGTAGGGTCTAGAATGAAAAATAACTTCAAGTTAATCAGGATCTTATACAGTATCATAAAATTTCAAGTATAAATATTTCAAAATGGCACCTGAAATTTGTAAATCACAAGAAAGTTATTTTTCATGTTGTTAAAATCTATTATTGAATGCTTAAGATACTGGGCTTTTCTTTATTGCAACATTTACAGTATACAGTATACATATATATCATTTTCCTAAACAGTAACAAAGGTATTTTACCATCAAGCAATAAAAGACAACAGAACCAGAACTGGAGAGATGACTCCAGAAGTTAAGAGAACTTGATCTTGCAGAGGACCAAGATTTGACCAGCACCCACATAGCAGCTCACAACTACCTAAAACTCAGGGGATCTGGTACCCTCTTCTTGTCTCTTTGGGCACCAGACAGACACATGATACACAGATGGGTGAGCAAAACACTCATACACATAAATTCAAATAAGAAAGACAACATAACCAATAGTAACAATTGCAAAATCTTTCACAGTGACATTTGATTTTAATTGGATGTTTAATGAGGGGCAGACCAGTGAATTAAAAGCTATGAAATGAGGACCTAAATTGTTCTTTCAGATTTTCTTACCCATGAAAATGATCATGAAAAGCCTGCCACTCACATATACATCTTAGCTACTGAAATAGGTCTGTGATAAATTCAAAGTGTATATTCTGGTGACTAGCACAAAAACATTAATATTGATCATTGCCAGTCAATGACAAATATCAAAGAATGTATAGACCAAACTGAACTATCCAGGGATAAGGCTAGGCATGTCATTTATAAATTTTCAGAGGAAACAATGGTGCTTACCCCAAGTTACAAACAATTTTGCCACGAAGTCTGATATATTCTCTGGAGTAAAGCAAACCCTAGAGGAAATTTTGACTTAAATTACTCAACAATTTATAAAAGTGTACTCTGGTACCGTATGTTAGCACTATCTGTTTTTAAGGACACTGCAAAACAGCATCCTTTAATTTGTTTATGTACAGATTTACTCTTAGCTACACACAATTCTTAGCATCAAACAACTCACATTACATCACACGCACACATCACACGTACATCACACACACACACACACACACACACACACACACACCAGAACAACTATGGAATACCTGAGTAATTGGTTTGTTTTTATTGTTTTCATGGACAATGAACCGTTCATGTTTGATTCAACTTTATATTGGTTGTCTGATATCCATTCCATAAAGAGCAGATAGTGGAAAAACAAACACTATGCACATTAACTTTATGTTCTCCAGTATTCTTGGTCTTACCTCACCCATGCTCTCATTTTAAACTTTATCTCATGTCCTCTTTCCAAATGACATTGGGAGTGCAAAGTAAAAGCAAGACTACTATGGGGGTTCAGTTTCTAGACTCTGATCCAATATCACATCACAGCAAACATTCCCATTAGATCAGAGGAGGCAGGCAGCTGCTATGACAAATGTCAAGTAAAATGATACTGTTTCTAAAGAAAGAGTTCTGTCTTAAACTACATACTAAATTTTGTTTTGTAATATTTAGTCATAAAAACAACTTTGGAAGCTCTCTGCCCAAGTTTTAGTTAAGCTAATTAAAAGACAAACAAAGATGGACTAATTCCTCACTGTTAAACATCTACCTGTATACAGTCTCATTCAGGTTCTATAATGCCCTGAACTGGAAGGCCACTATTCATTCTTAGGTGAAATGCTAGGTTGGGTTCCTATGAGCCTTTAGTTTCAATACTAACATTATTACATGTATATCTGCCCAATGACATTACATACACTACTCATTAACACTATGAACTAAGCCAAAAGCATTCTCATACCTGAATGAAGCTCATCTTAACATACCTGTTTTCTCTGTGAAACACACCAGTGTCTTCATACTTGAAACTACTATAGAGCACTTGAGTACTGAATTTAGCAACCTGTTTGTGTGGCCACTGAAACCATAAGAATGCAAAACATGCCACCAAACAAAATATAAAAAGGGTATATGTTACTGAAACCTCAAACAAACGCCTTGTTTGATTTCAGCTGGGAATGTGCACATTATCACACTTTAAAATGTTCACTGCCATGTGCACATTCATGAATGACTAAAACTGTGTGGCCAAGTATTGATTTGGGGGATTATAAATAAACTCGAGAAAACAGGACATTAACATATAGAATCCATGAATAATGTGGGTTGACTTTATGTCATTTCCCTTTATTGAAAGCTGTATTCTTACATCTTTTTTCATATACCGATTCCTTCCAATTAGAACATGTATAAGCCTTGGGGTGTCAATGTGGCTCCAACCACTGGCCTAACATACCTGAATACTGGGTTCAATCCTGAGGTCACTAAGGTATATATGTCTCAGCTAATAACTATCAAGTTGGTTAATACTGTTGTCATTCTATGAATTCATAATTCAATCTTTAGCATGCACAGGAGCAGATTCCTGAGAGAATTTTTTTCTATATATTTAAACAAAAAAACAAGCAACTATGTTTTCCCAAGGCAAAAATGGGTAATATATATTTACACCTAAATCTATAGAAAACTTGTTTCTTAAAATCTCAATCTGATGTGAAATACAGAGAACCATCCCCCAAAAGGCCATACATCTGAACCATGGGATGGCCAGAAAAATTAAATTCTATCAAATCGAAAAAGAGAAAATTAAATTTATTCCTTATCCTTATGATGAAATTTAGCAAGAGCCTCGAATTAGGATTTGCATTAAGCGCTGCCTTCCAAGGAGTAACTGAAAAGCTCACTAAGCCACCAGGTCATTCAAACCATCCACCAGGCAGAGAGAACTGCAGAAGCCATGTGCTCGACTTCCCCAATGGACACCTTCTCAGTGGATTCAGAACTATAGATTTTCCCTACCAAAGCAGCGTGTAACTGGGGTCAAGGCTTCTAAGAAAATTGAGCTTGCAGTTACAAGTGCATAAGCATGAATGGAAGAGCAAATAGGTCAAAACCGAATAAAAGCACTTCTCGGAGAGGAAAAAATATGTCAAAAAGGGATCAGGAGGCTGAAACCTGGGCAAAATCGGAGACCCACTTCTAAAAGGTGGTCCTGCTGGCGCAGGCTCGCACTAGCGCTGGCACCGGCACCAGCGCCCCCGAGATATAGCGGGGCGCAGGGCGGGCCGCGGGGACCGGTGCGACAGGTGGATGGCCTCAGAGCCCGATCGGGAGCGAAGGAAGGATGGATAAGAGGGCAACGACCCGCGCCAGCCTTTATTTCCTCCTTCATTAACTCACCAAGTAAACCACCCAGAGAAGATCGGGGAGAGGAAAGGGAAAGGTAAGCCGCTTCGGCACCGCCAAGGTAGCCTCAGCGGGTACGCCCGCCCCAGAGCCGCTGCATCTGCGCCTGCGCCGACTGCGCCGCGCCGCTATGGAGATCACGTGACCTTCATGCCCCGCCCACTGGCTCGCGGTCCCTCCCCTTCCCCGGCCGCTCACTTGGCCCCCGGAGGGGCGTGGCCTGGTTGTTGGAAACTATTGTGTGACGCCTGCGCAGCAGCCACGCTCGCTATTACAGAATTTTTCTTCCTAGATGCACCGAAGGAAAAAAGCAAAGTACTTTTTGAGTGGGCATGGGGGTGGGGGGGCAACACTGTTTTCATGCTGTCTTATCCAAAAGCGCAGGAACGTTCCTACGTATTTCTCAGGCAGGAGGAGTTACAAAACAGGGACCAGAGAAAACCAGCCTGCCATTGCCCGTTTCCTAGCAACTGTTTCCACAGCAACAACGCGGCCAACAACGCCAAGAAGTCTCAGGAGGAGCAGAATAGTTTCTTCCTGAAAGGGGTTGCTACAAAAGGGTCAAAGGGAGATTATTATACGAAAGAGACATTTTAGTTCCTTGTAAAGAGAGCAAGAAAAGAAAAAAGCGACGAGAAAAGGAGCAGAGACAGTGGGATAAGGAGCCAAACGTTGAGTAGTTGTTAAGGAATCCTTTGGTGGTCATGGACCCACCCTGCACTTCCGAGAGTATATATAACCTCATACCCAGTGACTTGAAGGAGCCGCCCCAACCTCCTAGGTATGTGGGTAAGCAAAAGTGACTTCAGCTCAGGGAAGCATGATGACTCCTTTTAAGGACTTACTGAGCTTGAGTATCGTTGGACTTTTAAAATGAAAATCTATTTTTGTTTTAATGAAGTAACCTTGGGTGGCAACTTCATAATTCATAGAGAAGGTGTCCTGGTGCTGTGATTATGTGGTCATAGTCTCCTGATAATATGTAATTGATCCAGTTGTAGGCGGTTTGATGTCTAGTGTGAAATTTCACATCGTTGAAAAAAGAAAAATAAGTTTGTCAGTCTGTTTTAGGTACCCCATGATGTATTTGAGTTTACTATCTCTCCTTCTGTAGTCTTCTGCCTCCCATACCTGTTGTCTAAACTGAGGTCTCATTTGTTTCTAGGTCTCGGTGCTTGAAATAGTTAAGCAAAGATGGTGTACTAAAATATTCCCTAGGATATTTTTCAGACTTTATGGTTTAATGGAAGGAATATAGTTGGATGGATAGAGATTTTTGTGTATTTGTTAGACCCCTGAAAATCTCCAATTCCCCAAGAAAACTGCAAAATAAATGATCCAGATAACTCTTCCCTGTAGCTATTTTTAAAACTCTGTTGAAGTCTGAGATGGGAGAAGAGGGCAGTCTCATTTTGACTCATGAAAATCACAGCCACTTGAAAAGAACCAGCACCCAGGGAGTAGAGTTCAAGGCTACAAAGGAAGACCCTGTCTCTAAAACCTAACAACCAGGAAAAGAAACCAACTCTCAGAGCTTTAAATATCAAGATTTACAAGTTGTTGTTTTGGAGGTGTGAAATCAGTTTTCAGTTGTTTTCTGACTTGAAGAGTAAGTAAAATAGACACCTCCAAGGTTCCCTCCAAATGAAATGGTCAACTTCTTGTTACTTGGAGTGGTAACAGCAAAATGTAACTCCTCTGAAGCCTGAGTAGCTTAAACTAGAGCAATCACAAATATTGTATTTCTGTTGGCATATCAAGACCTAGTTGCGGTCAGGTAGGAATGTAAATACTGACACACTTGTGGAGTTTACAATGTTCACATTACTTATGGCTAAGTTTGGTCCAAATTTTCCTTATAGTATACAAGATAAACTTCTTCTCTGTAACACACTGAAAGTGGCTGCCTTCTAGGGAATACTGAATATAAATGTCACAATATTTTATTAGTTCAACATTCTGTTAATTAGTAAAGAGCTTTACTGTGCCTGGGGATTTTGTTTTAAAAAATAATAGTATTCATTTGGCCCCTGCTCTGTGAATAACAGTGCTCTAGTAGTCTTTCACATGCTGAAGTGACAGCATAAATTCTTTGGCTTTATTCTGAAGAAATAAGTACAATAAACAGACTTTAGATGAGAAGGAATAAAGGTTGTGCCCCCAAATAGCCTTATTAGGTGAAGTCAGTTTCCCTCTTAGCAACAATGGTGAGAGGGTTTTGACAAGATGCCACACATGCAAACTACTAATTTGTTTAAAAAAAAACATGATAAACCATTTCACCATTTTCCCTCACCATACTGCTATGAACTTATTCCCCTCAGTCTTCCCACTAATAGATTTGCTCATAGAAGATATTTAAATGAGTAATCCTGTTTGCATCACTGAATTACTGAATTATAATCAGAGCTCTTGGGGAGCTTGCCACGGCTTTGAAGCACTCATCATTGGCTGCACTGTGATGTTCTGTATATCAGAGTTAACAGTCTTCTTGTTGAACAGAAATATAAACGTTAAAATGTTGATCATGCACAAATTAGTATGTTATTTAAAACCCTACTTAAAGTTTCATATAAATGAGTGGAAGGGATATTTGAAAATGGGCGTTTTCACTTCTGACATATGAATGTAGAGAAAGACATAATATACAAACAAGATTTTGTCAGAAGGAAAATTGCAGCTGCCATGCTCATGTGAGTCCCCACCTCTCACCCACATTTGTGTAAATAACATGCAGTAAGAACACTGATAGAACACTTCACTGGCATTCTGCATACAAACCACTGGGGAAAGAAAACATGCCAATCCTACCAGTTAAAAGTTAGCTGCCAAGGAAATTTCTGGATGCATGAACCTGTTCGGAACACAGGTTGCCATCATATACAGACAATTCTGTGTAATATGTTGTGGTATGAGAGTCATTTTAAGATATTAGGAACCTAGGTCAGTCTGTTAGATTCACCAGAATTCAATTTTTGATGGGGTAAGACTGTATCTATACTTTACCCAGGACTCAGGAAAAACAAAGTATTAAATTAGCTCAGCTGGGTATGGTGCACACACCTTTAATCCCAGCGCTTGGGAGACGGAAGCAGGTAGATCTCTAAATTCAAGGCCAGTCTGGTCTACAGAGCAAGTTCTAGGACATCCAGGGCCACACAGGGAAAACCCTGTCCCCAAAACAAAACAAAACAAACAAAAATCCTCTCAATATACATGTCTACTAGTAAGAAGAAACTCATATCCAGTTGCCACTGGTACTACCCAAAGAGTCATGTCCATCATACTACTACTTTTGACATTCCAGACACTGTTTTTCACAATCATTATTCATTCCCACCAGAACTTTACTAGATGATTAATATTATTTTAATTTTATGGAAGCGAGAACTCAGTTCTGGAAAGTTGAGGCATGTAAGAAGGACAGGCGCTAAGACTGACACAAGTCTGACAGTAAGGTCCAAAACTGGATTAGCTTGCTCTCTGCCCAAAGAAAGAAAGGCAGCTGGAGGGGTGCTGCTGCTTCTGTATTCACCTTCAGATACTGTTAAATGTCCATCCTCTGTTCTATTTCCATACAATATGTTATGATAACGTTACCAGAGAAAAGAGAAATGGTGGCAGAAAACTAAGATGGCATTACACATGAGATTGTACATGGAATGTGTGCTTG